TATGGAATCATGAAATATAATCAATATAGGATAAGGAACACTTACCCCAATGTTTTCCCGTGAAAATCGCCTAAGAACCGTGCTCCAAAAATCCAAAACGAAATGAATGAAATGACCATTTTTGGTCCTTAAGTTTCTGCCAATCCGTCACTAAAAGTCCATTTTCCGTCACTAAAAGTCCATTTTTCGTCACTAAAAGTCCACCAGAAACAACTCTACCAAACTTACTTCAATTGATCATAACTTTATGTACAATTGTCCAAATGATAAATGGTTTAACTTTCTGGAAACTAGAATCCACCGACTACAATTTTTATGTTTTGCAATTGTTCTGATTCCTTATGCATTACGAGATATAAGCTCCCAAAGTCGGCTGCATGCACCAGAATTTCTGGTGAAATTTCTGGCGAAACTGCTCTACCAGCCTTCATTCAATCCGTCATAACTTTCTGTACAAATGTCCAAATAATGAATGGTTTAACTTTATGGAAACTATAATCAAACGACTACAACTTTCATGTTTTTAAAATATTCTGGTTCCTTATGAATGGCGAGATATAAGTTTCCAAAGTTGGCTCCATGCACAAAATTTCTGCAACAGAAATTTCCAGCACTCTTTGTCCGAAATCCATTCCGTTTACCTTCCGAAATCCATCCGAGACCCTCGGGACCTTAACCAATTATTCCAACATGTCCCAAAATACCATACGAACTTAGTCAAAACTTCAAACTACATCAAACAACATCAAAACGACGAATCGCACCTCAAATCAAAATTAATGAACTTTGAACTTTTAAATTCTATATCTTGTGTCGAAACACATCAAATCAATTCGGAATGACTTCAAATTTTGCACACAAGTCATAAATGACATAACTGAGATATAAAAATTTTCAGAATCGGATTTTGACCCCGATATCAAAAAGTCAACCCCTCGGTCAAACTTCCCAAAAATTCAACTTTCGGCATTTCAAGCCTAATTCCACTACGGACTTCCAAATAAAATTCCGATCGCGCTCCTAAGTCCAAATCACCATACGGAGCTGTTGGAATCATCAAAATTCTATTCCGGGGTCGTTTACACATAATTTGACATCCGATCACTATTTGAACTTAAACTTTTAATTTTTTATCAAAATTTCATATCTCGGGCTAGGGACCTCGAAATTTGATTCCGGGCATACGCCCAAGTCCCAATTCATGATACGGACCTACCGGAACTGTCAAAATATTTATCCGAGTCCGTTTGCTCAAAATATTAACCAAAGTCAACTCAGTTGTGTTTTAAACATCTAATTCATATTTTAATCCATTCTTCACCTGAAAACTTTCTGAAATTTTTTTACGGATTGCACACGCAAGTCGAGTAATGATAAATAATTTTTAGATTACATAATTAATTATTAAATTTAAAGATGACATTTTTGGGTCATCACACCAAGCTCTGAAGCACACTTTGGGAATTAAGGAATATGATACCACTGCCCAGCTATAATTAATTGGGATAGTGGGCAAGGGACTAACCAACATAGATTCAAATATTTCAATATGTGGAGTCAGGCACCAAATTTCCAGCAGGAAGTAAAACTTAGCTGGGAGAGAAACATAGTTGGATCCAAAATGTTTGGACTGGTGGGCAAATTTAATAGACTCAAGGCAACTCTTTAGGGCATCAACAAAACTAACTTCAGTGATATAGAAGTTAATACTAACAAAATCAAGGTGTAACTGGATGAATGCCAAAGTAAACTACAAAAAGACCCAAGGAATCTACAACTGATAGAACATGAAGCAAGACTAGCTGAAGAATACCACAATTGGAAGGTGGCTGGAGATCAATACTTTAAACAGAAATGTAAGATCCAGTGGTTGAATTATGAGGATCTGAATACCAAACTCTTCCATAGTATACTCAAGGCTAGGAAGAATACTAATAGGATCTTTACAATCAGAAATAATAATGGGAACATTATCAATGAACTACCAGGGATAGCACAAAGCTTTATGGATTTCTATACTTCCCTACTTGAAACCTCAAGTTCTGAAAGGACTAGAGTCTACAGTGCAACTGTGAAGGAGGGTCCAATGATATCAACTGAGCATAGGAAGCTGCTAATAGAAGATTTCACAAAAATAAAGATAAAAACATCTCTATGGGTAACAGTAGGAGACAAAGCTCCAGGGCCAGATAGGTACAATAGTCAGTTCTTCAAAGATTGTTGGGATATCATCAAAGAAGTCCTCTTAGCTGGTGTGATGGAATTTTTCAAGTTCGGAAGAATTTTAAAGATATGGAATGCCACAGTACTTACCTTAATACCTAAGAAGGATCATGCTGAAACTGTTGGAGATTATAGACCAATAGCCTGTTGTTACACTATCTACAATATAGTATCCAAAATGCTGTCTATCATATTGAAAAAAGTGTTACCAGATATAATTTCAGTCAATTAGAATACAGTTGTGGCAAGGAGATCTATTGCCCAGAATTTCCTTATTTACCAAGATCTGGTCAGGTTATACAACAGAAAGCAAGCCACTAGTAATTGCTTGATAAAGATTATTTTGAAGAAAGCATATGATATAATCGAATGAGAGTCTGTTGAAGAGATGCTGCATGCTTTGAATTTCCCACACCAGTTCATTAAATGGGTTATAAACTGTACTACTACTGTCAAGTACTCCATAGCTATCAATGAGGGTCTATATGGAAATATAACAGGCAAGAGAGGGCTCATACAAGGTGACCCCATATCTCACATACTATTTATTATATGCATGGAATGCTTTACAAGTATAATAAGTCAGGTGGAAAAACATCAGGGATTTGGGTTTCATGCAAAATGCAAGACCTTAAGGCTGAATTGTCTTTGCTTTGCAGATGATGTACTGTTGTTTAGTAAATAGGATTTCCCAATCTGTCCTACTAATACTAAAGGGTTTGAAGACATTCTCAAATGCTTCTGGTTTATGCCCAAATTCATCCAAATCCAACATATTCTGTGTAAGCATGCCTCAATGTGAGGCGGACCTAATAAAGCTGACTGGATATGCTGAAGAGACATTACCTTTCAGATACTTAGGGGGTACCAATCTCAGCTAGAAAGCTATCTAAAATGGATTGTGATGTTCTGATTGAGAAACTTACATCACGAGTAAGAAGCTGGGATTCTAGACACCTCTCGTATGTTGGGGGAGTAATGCTAGTAAACTCAGTTTTACTCCACATTCATAGCTATCGGGCTTCCATATTTATTCTCCCAAAATTGGGGCTCAAAGGTATTACTGCAATTTGTAGAAACTTCCTATGGGATGGAAAAGTGGCCACAAATAGATCCCCACTTATGGCATGAGACCTGGTATGCAGACCAAAGAGGGAAGGGGGATTGGGAATAACTGAGTATATCAGATGAAATAAAGCTGCTATAGCTAAGTATGTATGAAACATTGCCCAAAAAGCTGATAATCTTTGGGTAAAGTGGATCAATAATGTTTGCTTAAAAGACAATGACTGGTGGCAGTACTCACAATCACAGGATTGTTGTTGGTACTGGAAAAAGGTATGCACTACGAGAGACACCTTTGCACCTAGCTTTGTTGAGAATGGATGGCTAAAGTCCAAGGGCAATATTCAGTTAATAGTGGGTACAAATGGAGAATGGGGGAACAAGAGGATTCACCCTGATTGAGATGAGTATGGAGTAGAAGAAATATGAAAGCATAATTTCATATGTTGGTTGGTTCTGCATAGGCGACTATTAACCAAAGATAGACTACATAGACAGGGTATTAGCCAAAATAATAGATGTATAATGTGTGGTGCTAATATGGAGACTGTAAAGCATCTATTCTTTGAGTGTGCTTTCTCCATGAATTGCCTACAAGGGATCCTTAAATGGACAGGGAGAGGAGTATAACACACAGACATTAATTGGATATAGAGGAGGCTGGCTAGAAGTACTGAAGAAAGAAGTTGCAGGGCTTTTGTCATTGCAACCTTGGAAGCACTAGTATATCGTATCTGGAAAGCAAGAAACAATGCTTATTGGGATCTCAAACTACCACGACCTGAACTTGTGATTGAATAAATATGACAAGAGTGCAAACTGTGAAGGAACATGTTCTTGAGCATGAAGTAGAGTAACAAGGAAAGAGACTGGTTAAACAATATACTTAAGTAGAATTGGATGATTTTCTCTTATAGGGGCCATAGTTCACATTACATGTTTCTAGTAGATAGATAAATGTGTAAATTTATATATAGAAAGTAGATATAGGGGGTAGATATTCTTAAAAGAAGATTGTACGTGGTCGAAGAAATTGTTATTGTTCGTAGAGATTAATAAAAAAATTCTTCACCCAAAAAAATAATGTTTTTCAAGGAACCAATTTTGTTCACTTCTATTCCTTCCATCTCTATTTTTAAATATATCAACTTGATGCAATACATTTATTTAATTAATTTTTTAGACAAAATACTTTCAAACTATTTCATATAATCTTACTATCATTACGTTGTTGTGTTTGTTTGGTGAAAATAGTATGGGCTAACCAGTTTTCGGATTGGTAATAAAAGAATAGCAGTGTTTGCAAAGTCATTGAAAAATAGCCACTATTTTATGCGGAGATAAAATCTGGACAAAAATACCCTAGCTGAAACACAAAAAGTTCCAGCATAATATGCTGGATTTTGGAGCTCTTGCGTATAAGTTTCCAACATATTATATTGAAACTCCAGCACATTGTGCTAGAATCTCATATGTAAAAAAAATAACATGTTATGTTGAATTTCTTCGAATTTTGAGTGTGTTTTTGTTCATATTTTATCTTTACGTAAATAATTGGCTAAATTTCGATTACTTTTGAAAGGGTGACTATTTTTTAATTACCAGTTGTAAATCAAGTTATTTCTAATTTTTTCCCATTTGTTTGGGATAAGGGAATGGGTCCGAGATCACCAAGCCCGGCTCAGGCCCATCCCAAGCATCGCCAAAGGTCAAAGTAGAAATTTTTCTAATCTTCACAATAGCATGTCAAGATTGTTCTTTACATGGGGTATTCATAACAGATAATGAAATGGCAACAAAAGTCAAAAAGTAATTCCTGAAAATCATGTACATCAACTCATCTCCAAGCCTTTCCAATTGCATGTGAAGATGTACATCCAACACTTACGTCATTGCTTATCGAAACGCATTCCATGGAAGTAATAAACTTTTCGCAAAATAATTGCAATGACCCGATCGATAATTTTGAGTATTTTCGCTCTGTTTTCTCTCTATTTGATGCTTTACATATGTGTATTTATGGTTACGTGACTTGCCGGGTGGTTGATTTATTTTCGGGGAAGTTTGGGAGTAAATTAGGACACTTAGTCTCAAGGTTGGGTGCTTAAGTTGTTAGGGTTGGTCAGAGTTTGAGTTTTATGTAGACGACCCCAAAATAGTATTTTGATTATTCCTATAGATTCGTATGATGATTTTGGACTTAGGCGTATGATTGAATTTGGATTTAGAGGTTCGTAGGTGAATTTGGTGCTTTTTGGCTTAAGTTGGTAAGTAGAACGTTTGGAAGGTTCATACGTTTGACCGAAAGTTGACTTTGTTAATATCAGGTTCGGATTGTGGTCCTGAGAGTTATAATAAGCCAGTTGTGTCATATGGGATTTGTATGCAAAATATATGTCATTCCGAGTTGATTTGATGATTCGACATGAGTTTTAGAAGTTGAAAGTTCATTAGGCTTCAATTGTGGTGCGATTCGTGGTTTTGATGTTATCATGTGGGAATTGAGGCCTCGAGTAGGTCCGTGTTATATTTTGGAACTTGTTGGTATGTTCGGAGGGGGACCCGAGGGGATCGGGTGTGTTTCGGATTGGTTTCGACTTATTTTGGATTGTGTTGCATTGCTGGAGTTTTGCTGAGTCTAATGCTTTCGCATCTGCGGATACTAGTCACAGATGCGACGTCGCAGATGCAGCCATGAGGGCGCAGATACGAGAAAGGGATGGAGGAGTTGTGTCCGCAGATGCGAAACTCTTGACGCAGAAGCGTGACCACACCAGTGATGAGAGACTACATAAGCGGGTGCGCATATGCGAGCTTGAGGCCGCAGAAGTGGGAGGTTGAAACTTAAGTGGGGACCATAAATATGGGCCTTTAACCGTATAAGTGGAGCCGCAGATGCGGCAAATTGTCCGCAAATGCGGAATCACTGGGCAACTTATTATATTTCGAGAGTGGTTTCATTTTTCACTCTTTGGAGTTGTGGAGCTCGATTGGAGGCAATATTTGGGAGACTTTTCAATACAATTGAAGAGGTAAGTTCAGTTTACTTAATTTTGATGTTAAATATTGATTACACATGGATTATTACACCTAATTTATGTAAATTAAAGGTGGGATTTGGGATTTTTTGGACTATGATTTTGAAAAGTGAGAATTGATGATTCGAGGGTCGATTTGAGTTTGGAAATGGATGAAACGTATATATTTGGACTCGTATAAGAATGGGTGGTCGAAATTTATGAATTTTGTCGGGTTTTGGGATGCGGGCCTGGGGTTGACTTTGCTAATTGATTCAAGATCATAGCTTTATTATTTGGGCTTATTTTCTATGACTATTATTGATGATATTAAGTTGTTTTGGCTAGATTCGAGTCGTTCGAAGGTCGATTCGCATGGGAAGGGCTTCTTGGAGTATTGATTCCCATGTTTTAAGGTAAGTAACATATCTAAACTTATATTTGAGGACAATTATCCCTGAGAACTATGATATTTGCATGCACCGGGGTATTTATAATTCAGGTTGTTCTTAGGCTATTATATGTCTTGTTTTGCTATCATGATTCTTTGATATCATGCTTTCTTCATTTGTATGACTACATGAGTTGTTATTCATGCTAGAAATCATGTCTAGTCTATCTACTTAATTGTTTGAGTAATGATAGGGCTATTTTGCCATATTGATCTATTTGCCTTAAGCGTAGTCATACTGTTCAGTCATGATAGTCATATTCGCATGTTATATCACTGTCTTTGTGCACTTTTGATATGATGTCTCACATGTTATTGGTGTTCTTGTACGTGACACGAGTGTTAAATTGAATTTGTGGCACATTTGTGATATTTCGTGTTGTATAATTGGATTATGTTGTCGTGAGATATTGGCATATGGAGACTTGAGTAGATTGATGACTAATGTGGGCCATAGAGCCGTGGTGATTGATAGTGAGGCGAAGCTTGCATCAAGGCTCTGTATTGGGCTGAGTGTTATTGGTATTGAGGTGACGCATACACCAGGCCCCACGTTGGGCTAAGTGGTACTGTTTAGGGGCGACGCGTGTACCAGGTCCCATGCTGGGCTATGTAATATTGATTATTGATTAGTGCTTGAGCAATGATCCGCCCTTCTAGAGTCTGGTATTCACAGTGAGTGCAAGCACATAGATATAT